CTGTATTTTCTTAGAAACAGGACCTCCTGGACGTTGCATGCTCCGTGGTACTTGGAGAGTCGGACTTCAAGAAATCAGTGCAGCGGGGGTTCAGCCATGAGGCCCAGCATGCAGAACCGTCTACAACCAATGTCAGTGACGCCCTTGTCCAGAACCCAGTGCAGTGTCCACCAAGTAGTGGATCAATGACACCGGTTGGTCGCATGTCACGAGCACACAGCCATTCCAGTCTAATTGCATGCACTAGCCAAGACATGTTCTTGGCTTCGTCCAACTCAAACACAAGCACCAGATGCCTCTAAACAATCTCGCACAGAGCTGGGTGCGAGGGTGAAACAGAACAGCTCAATGGCACGGTATTTCCGCTTCATGGGATCACTTTCACCGTTGGTCAGGGCCAGGCTTCTGAGCTAGTTGACAAGTCAGCAACAGCCGTCACGGGTTCTGTTGCCATCTTCAGAAGGGTGCAACAAATACGGTAGCATTGTGCCTGGAGATGTTCTCTGAAAGTGCTGAAGGCCTGGAGGATGACTCTGTGACAGAGGCTCCGTTGACTAGTGTTGGTGTTGGCGGAGGTAGTGTGGTAGGACACCAGCGTTCACACGTGCCATTGTCCACACAGTTAACAGTTTCAAGCCTGGTTGCTATGGACGACGCCACCATGATTATGAGTGATTCAAGCAACATTCTTGTGGATGATCCCATGTGCAACTTTGATCAACCCGCTGCCGGGGGAAAGCCACTGCAGGACAGAGCAGTTGGTAGCAGTGAAAAACACATGCCATCATGCCCGCCAAAGACCTTGCCTGAAACACAGTGCTCCAAGCCAAGCAGACAGCAGCCTGTGGACAGCAAGACTAATCCAGCTGTTCCTGGCGGAACACGTGCCTTCAGCAAGAAACACCCAGCGGTACCTTACGGGAAAAAGAACACAACCAATCGTCATGCTTCATCGCTACGTCTGTTCTTTAGACAAAATGTTTCCCTTGAATCCAGCCCGGAAGAGGGGGGTGCAAAGCCAAGCGTGAATGAAGAGAAACTGGCTGATGTAGGTACAAAGACCAACCACTCAGTGACCCAAGACACATGCAGAGAGTCCATGCAGCCGAAGGTCACCACAACCACTCATCCGCAGTCCATGGCAAACGTTCAAATCATACATGGTGATGAGAAACGGACGACACGCGATAACATTGGCCAACACAATCGTTCCTGGACAACTCGCCAGAGAGTGAAGCGTATCTTCCGGCGGCCTTCCGCTCCACCAGTTGGGGAGCAGCCAGAAGAGAGAGAAGGTACATTAGAGAACAAGAGCACCGAGAATCACTCTCCAATATTGCACTTCGTGCCCACTACAAGACGAGCAGAAAGTCATCCCTGTCATAGACCAGCAGAGCAAGAGAGTCAGTCCAGAGCTCACATGCAAGCTGTTGTGTCGTCACGGAGAGAAGAGACCGATGATCTTCCAGAACTCAATTATAGTACCCTCCCTAGTGCCAGGTTCCGCTCGGAAAGTAGCCCGGTTCGATCGTGTATTGCTGGTCAACGGACTCAAACAATGGCGATCGCCCTTGCCAAGTCCACAGCAACCCATGAGGAAGAAGACACCTATACAGAGTTTTCTGAGGGAGGCAGCTCGCCAAATAATGAATTTCAGAACACACCACCATCCATTGCCGCTGGCAATGCTACGGATGAACAACTCTCGTATGAGGAGTTAGCCGATAGCAGAGCAGCAAGCAAGAAAATCTATTCCCAGTTGCCCTCACCAAGAACGTCACAAAGTGCAATGTCCAACATGCCTGCCAGCTCCACGTCGCATGCAGAGCCATCGTCGGCTGAAACAACTAACTTGCCAGCCGCTCAAACCGCAAAGTCCAACTCTGAGTTGCGATTTTATGATGACATGATAACGCCATCTTCATGGCAGCCTGGAAACCAACCTGCGCAGATTCCTGATGACAGTGTGCTGGAAGTGAACAGTGTCCAGTATATACAACTGTATGAAGAACAGCAGCAACAGCAGCAACAGCAACAGCAGCAACAGCAACAGCAACAGCAGCAACAGCAGCAGCAACAGCAGCAACAGCAGCAGCAGCAACTACAAGACCACCAACAGCAGCAGCAACAGCAACAACAGTTGCAACGCCAGGAGCAACGACAGCAGAAAGACATGGATGATGACTCCGGAATCTACGCGCACACAAGCGGCATAGAGTCTTTTGCGTCTATGTCCTGGCTGAGTGGAGGTGCAGCTCCGTCAGCATACTCACACATACATCATCCAAATCAGCATCACATGCGACAACCACAGCAGTCGCAGCAGCAACAGTACACCCAACAACAGGCCACTGAGTTCACACAGCTCAATGGCCAGTTGTCCAGCGACGACGACTCCAGATATTCAGCCTTGCTGCAGGCCCGACAAACGAGTACATTTTCCAAACCGCCAGAAACCTGCGAGAATGCGATAAGCAGCACAGACACTATAGACTTTACTCATGGAAACAGCGCTGATAGTATGAAATTGTCATCAGATCGCCGTCCGTCTTCCGTTCAGGAAGCCATCATCTGCTATGAAGTACTGGCCAGTGCAAGAGCAGCAGGAGTTAGCTCGACAAGTCCGACTACAGTCAGAGCAGCTTGCAGCTCCAGTGCTAATCCAGCAATCCAGCAAAATGCCAAGACTAGGCCAACTCCCGCTCCAAGGAAGCCCTCGCGTAATAACACGCCACAGTCCTCACCTAAGTCGATACCGAAATGCCATGGCAATGACGTCAACACAGCGACTAGCACTTCAAATCCTGAGAAATCAGCACGCCAGAGACCATCAGCTCCTCCAAAGCCGATTCCCCGGCCATCTGTACCTAAGGATGCAGAGACTGAGATGCCAGGAGAGGAACTGAAGAGAAAGAAGACATCTGACCAGTAAAGTGACTGGTTGCTAATGATCTACAGACTTGTGGTATGGTGAAGACAGTGTTTAAATGGGTACACAGAGTTCACAGTATTTTATCAATTTCTCTTCATATTCAAGACAGTCTGTGTGGGCAACTGTTGCGTCAAAAGTTGCTGCCGTTGCACCTTATCCAAATAGCAGGCACTTGCATAATTTCCAAGGCATATACAGTGAGGTAAAGGCGCATGTGTATTTATTGTGGGGTGTGTTATTGAGCGTGTTTCTGTCTACGTTTGCATGCGTGCATGCATGGGCGTAAACGCCCTTTGATTTTACAATGATACACTACCGCTCTCAACAATTTGACATCACGTCACTCACCCATTTACTCCTCCCTTTGAAGAGAGAAGGTATGTTTTTTTCTATTTCTGATCCCTCACAACGGATTTTGTCAACTAAGTAATTTGTACTTGTATTTAGTGTTGCTAAACCTGTTAGTATCAACCAGTATTTTAACGTTTTTGAAGGTCAATCAAGCCAACTGCTGATCTGCTTTTTCAATAGTAAACATATTTTTGCACCCGGCATGAAATCTTATCAGACCTGTCCCTCATTTTCATAATTATTGTTCTCAATCCCTCTACATCTCTATCTCTCTCTGTGTTCCCCTGCTTTCAATTTCATTCCTAGACATATTAAATCCCATCAGGTGCATTTCGCTGAGCCATGCACTTTAATATTCAGCTTGGCAATGTTGACCATTTCCAGTTCTCTTGTGCTGCTTGTGTTTTGATTGTTTCTACTGCCGAAAGTCTTCTAGCTTCCAACCATTAGTTTACATGATGACAAAAATCAAATTGTAATCGAGAAATCCGCTGGTACATCGTGTAAAACATTTTTAAAAAATTGTACATTATTCATGTCCATATCACTGTTTACAAAAATAATATGATATCCATCGTTTTGTGGCATAGACTCTCTCTATCTATCTATCTCTGGATCCATGGCTCTAGGGTCTAGCGTGAAACTCCACTAATCCGAGCAGATTGTGACCGAGCACCGCCTGTCACTAGCCGTATAAAATCAGAAAACACAAAGCTTTGTTTTGTTTGCCAAACACTACTTATACTAGTGGTTTTTGTGGTCATATTTCGTTGAAAAGGCTAATTTGTGACTAGAGATGTGTCAGAAATGTACCCAGTAGATGGAAGTACCCGGATAATACTCCCTTTGGTCTAACCTGCCTACTAGCATTAAGACATGCCAGGATATCAGGAAATTCAAAGTCCAGCTTTCCACACTGTCTCATCCGAAGTGATCCCATGTATTACTAATGTGCCTCCCTTTCTTTTTCTCTCCCTATCTCCTTTCCCTCTCTGACAGCATCTTTCTTTTTCTCCCTTTTAGCTTGCCGTGGTTGGCTATCACCTGACCTCTCATGTTTATTGGCAGTCTTCGGACGGGCCAGGAGATGTTGAATAAATAAATAAATAAGTGAAGTTTTACCGTGCTACGGTCTATGATGGCTGTGCACTATGGTTAAGTGTGTGCACAGGCAGATCTGCGACTTAATTGCCCGCCGTTATGTGTGATCACGAAGTCCGATTCGTCCCTCACATTCGCCGTGTTTCTCATCGAGTCGGTGGCAGAGCAGAGGATGTAAAATCCGGTTAGTGTGAACCAGGCAAAAAATTCCCTTTTTTCCCCGATCTGAGTCCATCTGATCAGAGTATCAATATATTTATACAAACAAAATAGAAGGAAAGCAGAAGCAGGGAGAATAATGTTACACGTAGAAACTGGAAGGAGAAATTAGAAGTAGAAAACGGTACGCATGTTCAGGCTTATCAGATCATTCCAAATTTGGTTATAGATACCGGTGCCGTACATAAAGGATTTCAGTGCAAGCGGAAACTGTCTTGCAGAAGAAAATGTTGGGTTGGCTTATGTCACATTGAAGACAGGCATAGAATACCAAGCAGCCACTTGATTTCAGTTTGTACAATAGACGAGAATAGCAATGTAAATAATTCATGAAATTTAGTTTCAAGTACTTATTATTACAAGTATTATTATTATTATTCTCGTATCCGTCCCGAATGGGACTCACGACGGCAGAATTAACTGTGAGCATGTGTGTGTGAGAGTGGGAGAACGAAATGAAAAAGAAAAGAAGAGTCTTGTAATAAAGGTCAAATTTAAGAAGAGCAGTACTAGACTAAATGGCTGAGCAGATGTTACTCCATTGTTTTCTGTCGCGGGCAGAGGTGCCGAGATCACAAAGGCAGCTGGGCCTAAAAATGCAGATAGGTGTGAGGCGGACGTCTCGCTGGAGACTTGTGGTGAGGCAAGAGCGGGGTGCACCTATTCGAAAGGGCTGACTGGTAGCATATTTACAGAAAGCAGTGAGAGCAACATTCGCAGGGATGTCACTTGGCTGGCGTAATATATGTCCTAATAGCTTCCACCTGTCCCGCTTGGCCATTTCAGACTAGTATGGCGAATAGAACATTATGCAACCCATTCAGCAGACATCGTGTAGCAATATACCAACAACAACATACACACACGCACACACACACACACACACACACATGCGCACGCTCACACACGCACACACACACACACACACAGGAAATATGGACAGGTGACGCGTTGCAAGGATCAGGTGACGTGGCAGTGGAAATTAGCGCTGCTCGTCTTTCTCCGCTTCCACTTCTTGAGTTTCCACGGCAACTGATTACAGAGATAAATCACAAGAGAGGGAAACATAATATCATTCAGTTAAATTCAGCAGTGTCAAGAGAAAGAAAACCAGACAAGGCTGTACAATCAATCTTACACACAGGGCTGAAAAGCAACAACGATGACGACAGTGATGACACCGATGAGGACGACAATGAAGACAACACCAAAACATCACCTAAAGATAATGTGTGTTCAATGCTGGAATTGAACGGTAATTAAAATATAAACTCGTCAGGCTACCACTTACCAGATGGAGTTCCGGAGTGCTTCAAATATTTCTTCTTCTTTTCCTGGTCAGAGAAGAAGAACATAGTCAGTTCAGTTAGTTTACAAGATAGACAACCTACACTGCTGTCTCTACAGTTCACAAAACAGTGGTGTGATTACAACATGCACAAATACCGGTATGTGTGATGTGTCTGGTTTCCTTGCCCTTGCCGAGCGGCGGTGCTAGTCGTCAGGCCAGTCACGTCACCTATTTGCCAGCCCTGTGAGCTGCCATGTTCTTTTTGATCACATTTACAATGGGTGCCCTTCAGTGGCATGGCCAATAGGGCAGACTTGGGACGCTAGTGTACATGAAGTGCCGTCCAGGATTTCACCCCCCCCCCCCCCCTCCCTTATGCAAGTCCACGCTACGTGTGTGGTGTGAATCTCAATCTCTCTAATGTACAGGTATGCACACTATTGTAAAGGGTTGATCACGTGACAATACCACACAGATCAGGGATTCACGGTGCTGCCAAATTCCCTTTTTCCATGTTTTCTTTTACCGAAAATCACTCCTTTGTCCGTACTACGGAATTAGAGCAAAATGGTACGGAAAATTGAAACGGATCTATCAGCTGAGTGCAAATACACGTAGAAGCATGGCACGCGCAAGCTGAGTGATGAATATCCTTGCAAAGCAAGGCTTGCTATGTTACAACATCAGATATCACAACACATGCTGATCTGGGTACAAGTCACATCTATTTTGCACTGCAAATCCAGGGACAGACGTGCGTGTGTGTGACCAAACTGACAATGCATATGTCAGTACTATGTTAGCACCGCAACACACTGCAAAATACCGAACATGTGAAGCCAGAGTACGCAAAACAAACCCAGTTGGTTGGCAGCTCTAGTTTCATGCCAGTCCGTGATTCAGCCATACTCCACCATTGTACACTCTACACACGACATACATATTTACTCACTCATGAACTACAAAATAAACACATACCTTGTCAGCTTCATGCTGTGTGAGAAGCTGCACACATTCATCATGACCACTTTGCTTTGCTATGTCCAATGCTGTGTCACCATGCTGTGTAGCACAAGAACACATCAGAAAGCAAAACAACAACAGACATACTCAGTCAAAATTAAACAGAGCCCCACATACAGTACCTCAGAAAAGTGGATCTTCCGACCAGTGTTTTTGTTGACGTCGCAACCAGATGATGTAGCTGCTTTGCAGAGACGTCTTACTGCACAAATTACAAATAAATTTTATTCTTCGATTAGAAAACCCAAGCGCTTTCAGAGCCCTCCGAAGAGAGTCCGGGATGAAACCACGCACACCTACCTCAACCGAAAAAGAAACGACCTGCCACCCGTTTGCTCGGCATTGATCGGCCAGATCCGCATACCGCCTGTCCTTCCGCGAGTTACTGACACTGAATCTGTCCTCAGCACAAACTGTCAACTTCATCCAGAATACAATCCCACGACTCGTAGAGTACAGAACTATATCTGGTCTTAGGGTGGTAAGTGCAACACAGCTAGGGAAAGAAATCTTTGCACTAACTGAGTCGACAAGAAGTTTCCAGTCTGAGGCCACTGACAGGAGATCAGTCGTAACCAACTTTCGTCTGGGCTGAACGCGAACTGGCTTCTCTCCCGCCTTGCAAAATGAGATGAAGTCAAGCTCATTTAAATTTTCGGTTTGTACGGTGTTTGCAGCAGCACGGATTCGAATCTCCTCACGCATGTTCCTGACGATGACCCCGAGTACGTAGTCGTGCCTCCAGGTGTACCGTCCCTGGTCCAGCGCTACGCGACAAGCACCAAGCACGTGGCGCGTAGTACAGGCCCAGGCACGGCACAAACTACAGTACGGATCCACTACGGTGTTTCCACAACGGCGTAGGTTCGTCGGAGAAGGTAGCACGTCGAGGGTTGACGCGAGAAGAAATTTCAAATCCTTACCAGTACCACCGTACAAAAGGGATTTCCCCCGAAAGGTCCTGCCACATCACCGATGTCCACTCCAACCACTTGCCTTGCACCTGAAGAGTCTTCAGCCTCAAAATCTGCTCCTGCGCGTTGATCTCCTCAAATGTTTGAAGGAGATCCTTCCTCGGGGGTTTGGAATGCTGCTTCGGAGCACGAGCACCCAACCCTGCATGTTCTGAAGACAGTATGCAGTGGTGTGCGTTCTGTGTGTTTTCTGTGCGTTCTGTGTGCGTTCTCTGTGCGATCTGTGTGCGCTCTGTTCTCTTGTGTATTCCCTGTGCGATCTGTGTGTTCTTCATGTACTGTGCAGAAGACTCCAGATATTGTAGAATTTACGAGTGTCACTATTATTTATCTACTGTGTTTATTCTATATTTTGTTAATCCTTCGTTCTTCCGAGAGCACAGTCAAAGCGTTTACTAGGAGTTAGGTACTAGTACATCACTGATTGTTACAAGCAGTTTACAGGTTACAAAACAGCTGGTGTTGTTTCTAAGTTGATTATCTCGAATTTGAATTGTTACTTATCTTTGCATTCCTTCAGAAAGTCCGTTCTGCAGCTCTAGTCCGTCCTAGTGTAGGTTCTGCTCTGACAAGGCTTGCCTTCACCCTGTGGGTGCTAACACTCTCTGACAGGACATGGTTGAAATTGCTTTGAGTTCCTATCAGCACAGATCTTCGTTTTCCTTGTTCTTTGAACTAATTACTTCCTTTGACTTCTACTTTCGAATTTCACTGTTTGTATTATTTTCTGACTTTTCTTGATTTTCCATTATTTTTGTCCACTGCGTGCCAGTACAGCTTGTGTATCGTCATGGCAGCGTGACATCATTGTTTTTCTCATATGCATGCACGTGATCTACGCATTTCTTCTTTGGAGCGCTGTGTGCCACGTAGCTTTGCGTGCGCCAGTGTCTTCGTTGTTGAGAGTTCTTGAGAAGACGAGCAAGTTGTCGTTTCGGTTTCTGATGTGCGGTGGAAAGCGTCTCCACGCGTACATTATCTGGTAGCAGAGGATGGTTAGAGGTTCAGTTTAGTTTAGTTGTAGTGTATGTATCAAATTTAGTTGCACCATGGACGAACTACGATCGGCAAAGATTCGAGTGAAGTCCAATTTCACGAGTATCAAACGTGGAATACTGACAAAGCTGCACAGTGAGACCACGCCCATAGACGCCAGAGACCTGAACGCTGGGATAGATGCACTGAACAATGCGGCAGAGGAGGCAGTGCGGGTGATGCTTGAGCTGTGCAAGCTGATGAGAGCGGCAGGTCGCCCTACTGAGGCAATATACGATGAGCTGGACGAGCTCCAAAGCAAGTACGATAACGTGTTAGAGCAGGCCAGCGAAGTGCTCGCCGAGATATGCTCTTCGCGGCCCAGTCGTGGAGGGAGATCTCCAGCGGGCAAGGAGCGAGCCCAAAGAATTAGGGAAGTGCGGGATCTGCTGCAAAGATCGGAGATCGTTGCTGAGAGCAAGGCTGACGAGGAGGAAAAAAGTGAACAGGCACCAGAAAAAGAAAAAAAAGAGAAATTTATGCATACTGTGCCGAAGCGAGAACCGCACCAGGGACCTGTCGGTCTGGAGTCAGGACTCTTACCGAGTAGTCTATCTGGGTCGTCGGCACCGAGTTCCTTGAGTGGGACTGCTGCCAGCTCGGGGACTGCTGCCAGCTCGGGGACTGCCGCTTGCGCTCCGAGTGGCAGTAGTACTAGTAGCAGTAGTACAAGTACGTCGGCTAGTTCTGTGCCTGCTGCGGCTCCCATCAGTACGTCCGCTAGTTCGGTGCCTCCTGCTGCTCCCACCAGTACGTCGGCTAGTTCTGTGCCTGCTGCGGCTCCCACCAGTACGTCGGCTAGTTCTGTGCCTGCTGCCGCCTTTAGTAATAGTATGTCGTTGAGGTCTGTGCCGGCTGTTGTAACAGCTTCAAGGGGCATAACCTCGGTTGTAAACTCGGGTCAGGCTGGACCACTGACAGCCAGTGGCGGAGGCAGAGCCACCAGTCAGCCTGTAAGAGCACCAGTGACCAGTACTAGCTTTCCGCCAGCAGTGTCAGCACCGAGTGTAGTGGCACCAGCACCGGTAGCAGCACCAGCACCATTCGCAGCACCAGCAGCGTTCACAGCACCTGCACCGTACGCAAACTTTCCACCAGGTGGAATGGTAGAGCCATGGCGGCAGATGCCACGAGTCGGCATTCCAGTTTTCACCGGAAACCGCAAAGAGTACGAGCAGTGGCGAGCTGCCTTCAACGCATGCGTAGATGTCTCGCCAGCCAACGATGCGTACAAGCTGCTGCAGTTGCGTACTTACCTGAAGGGTGAGCCGCTGGAGACGATCAGTGCCCTCGGGTACTCGCCAGCAGCTTATGCAACGGCAAAGGCGAAGCTTGAGCGCAAGTACGGCGGCAGTCGAAGACAAATTGCTCTGCAGCTGGAGGACATTGAGAGAATGCCAACCGTCCGCAGTGGTCGCCAGCGCGAACTGGTGCGGTATTCTGAGCTGCTGGAGATCGCAATAGTAAACTTGACAGATGCAGGGCGTTCCCATGAGCTGGGTCCGGGAACTCTGTATAACCAGCTGCTGCGAAAGCTGGATGAGAAGCTGATCGCGCAGTATCAGCGTTGGCTATTCGTGCAACAGCAGCCAGAAACAGTCACCATATTAGCGGTGTGGCTGGAACAAGAGGCAGAGTTCCTGACTGTGGCAGCAGAAACGGCAGACGGGATCAGCATATCCCAGCCAGCAGCGTCAGCACACGCGCCTGCCAACCGGCAAGTCAGGCCAGGGTCTCACCCACACAACAGATCTTTTGTGGCTCGTAGCGGAAAGTCGTGTGAAGTGTGCGGCGATGTCCATGGCGTATGGCAGTGCGACCAGTTCAAAGGAATGACTGTTGTAGAGCGCTGGGTCAAGGCCAAAGCAGCGCGTCTGTGTTATCGGTGTCTGGCGAGTGGTCACCGCGGCAATGACTGTGAACGGACGAGAGTTTGCGGCGTTGATGGTTGCGACTCCACGCACCATAGGCTCCTGCACGGGCAGCAGCAGATCAAGAACAGAGATCCGCCCAAGGACAGACCAAGCACAAAGAAGCAAGGTGTGTACCTCGCCACTGAGGGGGAGGCGCAGGAGTCTCAAGCAGCAGCAACGACCATGAAAGCCAGTGGCGCTGGGAATTTGGCTTTGCGAACCGTACCAGTCATGATCGGCAATGGCAACAGACGTGTGCGTATCAATGCCCTACTGGACGACGGCAGCACGCAGACGTATGTCAGCGCCAGAGTAGCAGCAGAACTTCAGCTAAGTGGACCAAGCTCCAAGATATCAGTCGGAGTACTAAACGGACAGCGCTCAACGTACGACACCCAGGACGTCGACGTGCAGCTCAGCAGCGTAGATGGCAGCTGGGAGCGCAAGATCCAGGCGAACACGCTACAGCAAATCACTGACGACATGCACGCAGTGAATTGGTCAACAGAGCAGCGGCATTGGCCACATCTCAAGGAAGTGACATTTGCCAGCTTGCCGAAGCGTAGAGAGGTAGATATGCTCATCGGCATTGACCAACCAGACATCCATTGTGCGCTGGAGGAGATACGTGGAGCTCCTGGAGAACCTGTGGCGCGTCGGACAGTGTTAGGGTGGACATGTGTCGGGCCCACGACGTCGACAATGGCTAGATCGTCATTGCTCCAGTACAGCTATGCGTCAGTGGTACGAGACCAGTCAGATGTAAACACAGAGCTCAACCGCACGAGGGCGAGTGGTACCAACCCGTCATTTCTACACAGTGACTCAGCCGACTGGCCGACATTGCCAGCAGGTCCACCGACAGCCCCGAGCGCTGAAGAGTTTAAGCAGAGCAGCGCAGCGGAAGCAGTGAGCTCCGTAACTGTTGCACAGCCGCCAGGATTTCGCCTGAAGCCTGAACGATATTCGGATTGGTTGCGTCTCGTGCGAGTGACAGCGTGGGTCATGCGATTCATTGGCAACTCCGCTGGCCGGAATCGCATCACAAGTGAACTGACAGCAGCGGAGATCAGTGACGCCGAGCAGTTGTGGATCGCGCAAGCTCAGAGCGAGGCGTTTAGCAACGAGCTGAAGAGTGTGCGCAACAAGCAAACAGTGCCAGCCAGATCAGCGCTACTGAAGCTCAACCCCAAGGTCGACGCAGATGGGTTGCTGCGATGCGACGGCCGGACGCAGTACGCCGAGTGGCTGCCACACAACGTGAGATTTCCAGTGATCTTACCACGCAATCATCACGTCACGCAGCTTATTGTGAAGCACCATCACGAGCTACAGCAGCATGGCGGCACGAACCAGACGATGTCGTCGCTAAACACAACGTTCTGGGTAGTGTCTGCCCGTGAAGCCATTCAAGAGTGGGTGCCAGCCCTGAACCGCCGGACCAAGTGGCCGCATGCACAGAAGAGCCTGCAGCCTGATGATGCCGTTCTCGTACTGCAGTCGGACACTCCGCTTGGACAGTGGCCTCTGGGACGTGTGATCAAGGTGTTGCCAGGAGCAGATGGCAAGGTGCGTGTCGCCGAGGTAGTGGTGTGCGGCAAGCGCTACGCTCGCCCGATTACTTAGCTGAACCCACTGGAGTTCTCAGCAGTGTTGATCCGTGTCTGATCAAGAGGGGGAGAATGTTCTGAAGACAGTATGCAGTGGTGTGCGTTCTGTGTGTTTTCTGTGCGTTCTGTGTGCGTTCTCTGTGCGATCTGTGTGCGCTCTGTTCTCTTGTGTATTCCCTGTGCGATCTGTGTGTTCTTCATGTACTGTGCAGAAGACTCCAGATATTGTAGAATTTACGAGTGTCACTATTATTTATCTACTGTGTTTATTCTATATTTTGTTAATCCTTCGTTCTTCCGAGAGCACAGTCAAAGCGTTTACTAGGAGTTAGGTACTAGTACATCACTGATTGTTACAAGCAGTTTACAGGTTACAAAACAGCTGGTGTTGTTTCTAAGTTGATTATCTCGAATTTGAATTGTTACTTATCTTTGCATTCCTTCAGAAAGTCCGTTCTGCAGCTCTAGTCCGTCCTAGTGTAGGTTCTGCTCTGACAAGGCTTGCCTTCACCCTGTGGGTGCTAACACTCTCTGACAGGACATGGTTGAAATTGCTTTGAGTTCCTATCAGCACAGATCTTCGTTTTCCTTGTTCTTTGAACTAATTACTTCCTTTGACTTCTACTTTCGAATTTCACTGTTTGTATTATTTTCTGACTTTTCTTGATTTTCCATTATTTTTGTCCACTGCGTGCCAGTACAGCTTGTGTATCGTCATGGCAGCGTGACATCATTGTTTTTCTCATATGCATGCACGTGATCTACGCATTTCTTCTTTGGAGCGCTGTGTGCCACGTAGCTTTGCGTGCGCCAGTGTCTTCGTTGTTGAGAGTTCTTGAGAAGACGAGCAAGTTGTCGTTTCGGTTTCTGATGTGCGGTGGAAAGCGTCTCCACGCGTACACTGCACGATGACTTGACGATGACGGTGGACGGAGGGTCCCTGAACCTACTGATGCCTCTGCACATTCCAGCTCTATTGTCGCCGTATACCGCTTTGTCAGCTTCGCTTCCATACTCCGACGCAGAGTGTACAGCGCCCTCATGTGCGCGTCCCCACTCGATCAAAGAATGTGCCATTTGATGGACTGGCACTTTTTCCACACCGTAGGAAGGTAGTGGAGGCGTAAGCCGAAGCGTTTGCGACTGCCAATGAAAAGAATAAGAATGGCAGAGTTTGAGAGAGAGAGAGAGAGAGAGATAGAGAGAGAGAGAGAGAGAGAGAGAGAGAAACAGAGGAAGAGAGAGAGAGAGAGGGAGAGAGAGAGAGAGAGGGAGGGAGGGAGGACAGGTGAGAAGGACGAGTAGAAACTGTTCACTTCACAACAACACACAATCAAATACTTACAATGTCAAGCCGTGCAGTATCCAAGGTGACACCGTCCATGTCATGTGACAGTACCACCTTGACAACATTGATCTTGTTCAGGATCACTGCACAGTGCAGTGGAGTCCATCCTGTCTGGAGAGAAAGAGAGAATGTGATGAGTATTGCTATACAACCATTGCACTAACTACTACAACCACACACCGACACAGACCTGGACAACTAGAACAAACACAACAATGCACGTGCACACATGAACACACATGCAGGACCACAGGCACATGAACAAACATGAAGAATTAAAAGTCATTGTGTGCACATGTGAGTACACACCCGTGGACCCCCCCCCCCCCCCCACACACACACATGCGCACAAGAACACACATGAGCCTACAAGATAACACACGTTGTACAATGAAAAGGTCGTTTCTGATGAACAGATGTGAGTGCAAACGTGGACACAAGGAAATATGAGTGCGAACGATGAACGGATTGTCTTACAGACATACACACAGACATGTAAGAGCATACAAACTGAGAATTCAGTTGAGACAACCAGACTCTAGAGTAACACTATTTCTTACTGAACTGTCCTGTGCGTTGAGGCAAGCGCCGCGTTCCATAAGCAGTTTTGCTAAACGTGCATTGCCTGTCCACACACATTGGTGTAAGAGTGTCCAGTTGTTCTGAACACACACACACACACACACACACAAACACACACACATACACACACACACATACATACACACACATGTGCGCGCACACACACACACACATACACACGCACACACACACACACACACACACGTACATACACACACAAACACGCAGATGAATACGCAATACATGTACACAGGCCAAACACACCAACAAGGAAACAGACGTACACATGGCGCAAGGGGCGCAGCACTCCGCTGGTTTGAGAGATACCTCCTGGGCCGGAGGCAGCGGGTCCGAATCGGAAGCACAGCCTCCGACTGGCTTGACATCCCTGCAGCAGTCCCTCAGGGATCGGTACTCGGCCCGCTGCTATTCCTTGTATACACGATGGACCTACCAGCAGCTTGCAACTCCGAAGCCACACGAAGCAGCCTCTTCGCCGACGACACCGCCTTAATCGCTAGCGACCACTCAGCAGCGGCAGCAGAGCGAGCGCTCCAGTCCAGTTTGACTAAAGCCGCTACGTGGCTCGACGCCTGGCACCTGACCGTCAACGAAACAAAGACGGTCGGGATGACACTGTGCGGTGCTTTCCTCCTGACATAACGTTGAGAGGCAAAACACTGAACAGAGTCCAGAGCCAGCGACACCTGGGTACACCAGGCCGACCTGAAGTGGAATGCCCACATCCAGCACATCGAGAGCAAAGTTGCGCGCACTCTCCACCTCTTGAGACGGATTCGTGGACGTCTTTCACCCACCGCCCTGTCAGCACTGTACATCACGTATATACGCCCCGTTATCAAATACGGTTCTCCGGCTATGTCAGCTATGAATGTTCAGCAACAAGATGCCCTCGAACGTCTCCAACGGCGGTCAGCAAAACTCTGCCTCCGACTCCCCCTCTTCAGTCGTTGCCACCACAGTTCGTTACTCCACCACGTCACTTGGCCAACCCTCTCATCCCGCCGGAAGCCGAGTCAAGCAGCTACTCTTTGCACACACCATCGCTGTCAAACGATCCCCGCCACACATCCAGCTTGCGACCTCAGGCTACATCACCGAGCCACCAAGCCGAGAATTGAGGCGTCATCGAGTCTTTGCCCTCCCCACCACCCACTCCACCCGCCTTCAACGTTCACCCTTGTACTCCGTATGCACTCAGTACAACCACCTGCCACCACACTGTTACTCCCTCCGAGAAATAAATGCATTAAAAAGAGAAGTTACCTCGATCCTTTCGGGAAAGTGCCCACTGGTTCTGCTCCGAAAGCAAGCACGAACCCTCGCGTTGCATCCTTATCCACTGAACAGAAGAATCTGCACTGCCGCATAAACGCTGAACCTGATCCAGAGCAACGTAAAGCTTTAAAGATTGAAAGATCTGCAAAACTCCACGAGATTCGAAGGATACTACAGAAGGAGGGCGAGCAATATTGGCAACGTAAGGCTGTTGAAGTAGATGCTTTACGCCCTGACCCACGGTCCTACTTCAACGCCATCAACAACTTACGCCAACTACGCTCTGGGAAGAAGGCTGCGCCTGTGCGTCTTGCTGACGCAGACGGCAGAATCATGGCAGACATCTCATGGAATCTTAATGCCTTTAATGAATATTATGAATCGGTATTTTACACTGATGGCCAGCCACTCGACCTCAGGCAGCAATCGAATGAGGAAGATCCATTCACAATCGAAGAAGTACGGTCTGCAATTATCAAGCAGAAGTCTGGTGGTGCTGTCGGTCCTGATGGTATCAGTGCTGATGCTTTGAAGTTAGCTAAAAACCTTTTCGCACCCTGGCTGACGAATTTCTTCAACGCTGTTCAAGCTACAGAGTACTGTCCTGACGACATGCGCTGCGGCCTCATCGTTCCCATCTACAAAGCCGGCAAGCCTCTAGGACATCCAAAAAGCTACCGCCCCGTTATGCTCCTTTCCGTCGTCCGTAAGATCTTGACGTCAATACTCACTCGACGACACACACTCCATGTGCAGTCATATGTGGCAGAGAGCCAAGCTGGTTTCCGCCCTGGCAGATCGACCACGGATGGTGTCTTTTACGCCAGGACGATGTGTGAGCGCGCACTACTTGGCGACTGGTCATATTCATCGGCACTATTGGACTTCAGCGGTGCGTTTGACACTGTCATTCGTCAGGTTGCTCTGGAGAGGTTAGCCACTGCTGGCGCACCAACGTCCACCACTGCAGTCCTAGTATCAAACACAACAGCCCGCACGAAGCTTGGTAAACAACTAAGCAAACCATTTCCAACAAACATCGGCGTCGTCCAGGGTGACCCAATGTCACCAATAATGTTTATAACTTACGCCGAAGGTTCCATGCGTAGGATCCGAGAGCAAGCTCTACCCGCGTCAGACCTACCAGCAACTTTCACACAATACGCAGACGACACCACTGCCCATCAGAACGAGCGATCATCTGTGGAAGAAACCGTCCGTGTGTGTGAACCCGTTTTCTCGGATGACAATCTGAAGCTGAACGTGGCAAAAACTCAATATTTCACTGTGACCAAGGAAGATGATTCCTGGAAATCGGTGAAGCTGCTGGGGAGTATGCTAGGCACAGCAGAAGACATAGCAGCTAGAGTGTCTGCTGCAAATCGGGCATTTGCAGGCATTCCATGGAAACGCCACAACCTGAATTCCAGGCTGTGTATGTTTTCCTGCCTGATATTGCCTGTCTTGCTGTATAATTGTGCGCTTTGGACCTTATCGCAAACATTAACCGACGTCGTCAATGTATGGCACCGGAAGAAACTACGTACCATCATTGGTATCACGTACCCACAACGAATCTCGAACACAGCGCTGTATGCCAGAACCGAGCAGACCCCACTATCCCAAGTCTGCAGGCAACGGAGACTGCTGTGGTTCGGCCATGTAGTGAGGGAAGGCGAAGAATCGTCCTCTTTCCAAGCCCTCCTAATGTCGATCAACACAACAGACATACGACGACCCCGAGGACGGCCACGTCTGAGATGGATCGACGTTGTCAAGAAAGACTTACAATGCATTAATCTGTCGCTTCTGGATGCTGTGCAATCTGCTTCTGATAGAGCTGCTTGGCTCAAAATTGTTAACAGATGCGTTGACCTCATGCAATGAGTGAAATGCGAACTGTCATTATTATTATTATTACCTCGATCATAATATTATCATCAATTAGCACATGCTCCAACCCCCGCTGTAGCCCAGCCTAGGTATAGTATTTTAATCAAGGTCTATCGCCTACCTGCCTTCGCAATGGATGTATTTCCTTCCTCGTCTTTACTTAAATGAAGCACCCAAACCACGGCTGCCACTAGCCACTGTTTCTCCCGGTTTATTGCACCCACTCTGATTGATAACACATAATACTGTCTCTCTCTTATTGGCTACGGCCATCGTGAGAATAAAGATAAGAAATAAATAAATAACACAGAGACACCAGCAAAGACATACACACAGAGACACCAGCAAAGACGTACACATGGCAGTGAACCAGCACAGTATACTGAACACAGGCAATGTCTCTTGTCACAATCAAAAACACAACAACTTACGGAGGTGTCATCTTCTTCATTGACGTCAACTGACTTGAAGTGCAGAATATAGTCAACAAGACCTTGCATCATTTCATCACTTAGATGTTCCCCACAATCGCAGAGAACAACTATCATCGTGACCTATGTGATATACAAAACAGAAGAAACAATTATGACAATTACAGCAATGACAGCAACAATACTCTCAGTACAATGCCATTAGGAAGTAGGAAACCTACTGATTGACCTCAGAGGTCAAAACCAGTCAAATTGTCATAACTTTATTCCAACTTGAGAGAAGATTGCAGCAATTGCACATCTTGTAATGTTATGTCACAGAAACAATTTCCACTGATCATCAGTCACTTGACAATGGTACAGACAAGAAGACAGCGTGTCACCACTTGAACATGCCTAATAAACACATACGGGTACGTGATCACACACACACACACACACACACACACACACACACACACACACACACACACACACACACACACACACACACACACACACACACACACACACACACACACACACACACACACACACACACACACACACACACACACACACACACACACACACACACACACACACACACACACACACACACACACACACACACACACACACACACACACACACACACACACACACACACACACACACACACACACACACACACACACACACACACACACACACACACACACACACACACACACACACACACACACACACACACACACACACACACACACACACACACACACACACACACACACACACACACACACACACACACACACACACACACACACACACACACACACACACACACACACACACACACACACACACACACACACACACACACACACACACACACACACACACACACACACACACACACACACACACACACACACACACACACACACACACACACACACACACACACACACACACACACACACACACACACACACACACACACACACACACACACACACACACACACACACACACACACACACACACACACACACACACACACACACACACACACACACACACACACACACACACACACACACACACACACACACACACACACACACACACACACACACACACACACACACACACACACACACACACACACACACACACACACACACACCTGGTAAACACTGCCATTACGGTCACGTGTCCCCTTGCGGGGCCAACAACATGGAAATGACGAGCGACGCCAGAAAGTCGGCAGTCTGCCAAGAGATCAGGAACCATGTTCAATCAGCACGACGAGAGAGCCATCTTTGGCAGCTATGGATTTGGAATCAACGAGTAGAGCTGCAGCACCGACCACAGGCCCCACAGTGGGCCTTGCAGCATGAGAGGGTGAGCCGCACACGCGGCGGCGGAGGAGTCGCCTGAGCAGCAATGATAGGCACCGCCGCCCGGCACGGAGCCAGAGATGATGTCGCGGGGAGTATCCGGGAGTTGGGGCACTTGTTGACCGCCAAACCTCCGGCACTGCAGAACCAGCGCTCGCAGGTAGAACATTGTCGGCTACCTCTCTGTTCCGACACAGGTTTGCGACGCTCATCGAGGCAGTTATGACGAGGAAAACCACTCCTGGAGAAGAGACGGCCACACTCGGCACAAGGTATCCGCAGGGGCTCAAAACACACACACACACACACAACAGTGGCGGGTTTAGGGGGGGGGGGGCACGGGGCGCCCCCCCCCCCCCCCCCTCAAAGGTTCCGACCTTGGTTTTGAAAAATTAAAGGCAGGGTGCCTGGGCTAGCTAGGCTAGGCTCGGGGCGTGTGGCCTGAAACGATCATCTAAAAGCGGTTGCACAGTACAGTGCTCGAGCTTGTGTTGATTGTACACACTAGAGTCCAGACTAGTAGTGGTAGTAGTACAGTGTATACACTACAGTCCAGACTAGTAGTGGTAGTAGTACAGTGTATACACTACAGTCCAGACTAGTAGTGGTAGTAGTACAGTGGACACACTAGAGTCCAGACTAGTAGTGGTAGTAGTACAGTGGACACACTAGAGTCCAGACTAGTAGTGGTAGTAGTACAGTGGACACACTAGAGTCCAGACTAGTAGTGGTAGTAGTACAGTGGACACACTACAGTCCAGACTAGTAGTGGTAGTAGTACAGTGTATACACTAGAGTCCAGACTAGTAGTGGTAGTAGTACAGTGTATACACTACAGTCCAGACTAGTAGTGGTAGTAGTACAGTGTATACACTAGAGTCCAGACTAGTAGTGGTAGTAGTACAGTGGACACACTAGAGTCCAGACTAGTAGTGGTAGTAGTACAGTGTATACACTACAGTCTAGTGAGTACTAGTGCACGACTACAGAAACACGGTCACCTGACTGTGTACACTGTACTGTTGTACTGTTGTACAGTGTGATCCCAGTGCTGGGACACGCTCGACGCGTCTTCAACGTACAAACATCAAAGAAAAGTCTTTGAGCCAACCAAAACACGATTCGAATGCCGAGGGCTCAGGCGATCATCCTCGTTCGAATCGTGTGTTGGTTGACTCGAAGACTTTTCTTCGATGTCTCAGCGACATCCCAAAAGGCCAAGCTCTAGCCAGCAGAGCCTGGATTTTTTGTGAAGCGTTTCTGTGGCGGCGCAACTCCTGCTGCCGCTCCAACAGGAAACAGTGGGAATGATGAAGTCGCTGTTATTCCAGTTGAACTTTCGGAGCGGACTGACAGTCACACTCCGCCAAACGCGGAAGCACCTGTTGTCAGCGAGCAGCCAGAACATGAAGACAAGCGCACAGTGACAAGTAGACATAGTACCGCTGCCTATGTAAAGCATACTTTGAGCGGTGAGAAATTGTTGGACTCGCATAAATTGCAGTTGATTCGCTCACATAACGGCAAATTTGAAGTTTCCAATGTAGATCTACAATGTTGCTTCGTGTACAGAAATACTGCTCTCGTGGTATGTGAGATTTACGGCTTCTTGACATTGGTTTTCAAAATGGCTGACCTGGGACAGTAGCATGATGTCAACCCCCACCCAGGGAGTCGTAAAATAAAGTATTTTACGACTCCCTGCCCCTACCCCATCCCTGCCCCCCCCCCCATCCCGGCCGCAATCCCCCCCCCCCCCCCCCACCAGCCAAATCCTGGACACTGCACACGCACTCACACACACACACACACACACACACACACACACACACACACACACACACACACACACACACATGGGTACATTCACCTACACACAGGCGCGCACATGCGCACACACATACACACACACACACTCACGCTTGTGCACACGCACACACACACACACACGCGCACACACACACACACACACACACACACCTACACATACATACACACACATTACATCAATACCCTACTTACTCCTAGTGTGTAGGAGCTTGTGAATGTATAACCAGGTGGTGACCATCTAACTTTCTGGACTCCAGTACTGTGGAGGAGATGAAGGACGTTGAACACCAACGCCCATATCTCATGTATCGCTCGTCCTTTCTCAGAAACTGCATCAGCAAATTTCTTCACAGTTTCTTGAAGATCTGGATCGTACAAACAGACACAACATACGAATGACGTTATCATCTCTTCACTATTGTTGGCACATGCACAGACACACACGTCATGAAATCATAGAGACGTCCCATATTTGGACAGTGGCAAGTAATGACATTTGTCGCCACAGAGTACAGCGTGGTACAGGTATCCTAGCAACCATCATTCACAAACAAACGTCACAATAACCGTACATACAGCTATATATGGTTGTCAGTGACTGTAGCTGAAAGAGGTGAAGACGATCAATGAACGACATCGAGGGGGTGTCTTCACAACACACTGCAACACATGCAATTTACGTTCTTCAACAAAATTACAGAAACGACCGACAAATGTTACACCTCATTGCTGCCACTGCCTACGACAACTCTCGACGAAAGATAACTGCTCCACACCTCAACAAACAAACAAACAATTTCGGTCACTGAATGGCCGTCACTTTGTGACACGAGACTTGGACAGAGATGAATGTTCACGACAAACGGCATTCAAAAGCAAAGGAGATGAACGACGGCAAAGCGTAGGTATTGGGAAGAAACCTGTTTTTGCTCACAGTCTAGGATGGGCCCCTTCCATCTCGCTTCCATCGATCACAAGAAACACTACGAACTACTCCCACTCGACTAACTAAATTGCTGGAAATATTTCAATTGAAACTTTACAGGACGAGGAAGGGCACTGCTGAAGTAAAACATCAACATGCAAATACTCTAGTCCAGTACCTATGGCTGAGCTTCAAAACCTCCTCCCTGATGTTCCTTGGATATGAACAAGACTACTAATGAACTGCAAGGAACGGACGAAAGTCTTGACGAGCAACCAGAAAGTATTCTGCTGCGCGACTGGAAAATGTGAGGGATCAACTGACTGAACCTTTGAACTTTGACCTCTCGTTTGCTAGCGCTCTGTCGATGTATGAAACATTACAGACAGCAGTAGACTGTTCATAGTCTGACACAAAATGTATTACCGTATTTCCACAAATAGTAGGCCGGTCTACTATTTTTTCAACCTCGTCCTAACCCGGCCTTATAATCGAGGACGGTCTTGCATTCGAGGACGGTCTTTTATTCTTTCAACCCAGTTTGACCCCCGGTCTTCTATTTCTCGCGACACAGTTTCACCCCCGTTATTCAATTTTCTTCTACACAGTTTGAGCACGGTCTTCTATTTTTCCCCACAGTTTGAGCACGGTCTTCTATTTTTAACACAAGAACAAAGACTCATTTAGTAGGCCCGGTCTTCTAATCGGAGACGGTCTTTTATTTTTTCAATCGCCCCCTGCCCCGGCCTTGTATACGAGGAAGGCGTTGTATACGAGGACGGCCTTTTATTTGCGGAAATACGGTACTGTGGATGACTGTAAATTATTGTAATCGGTACTGACTCTTTCTAGTGCAGTACAGTGTGCGCTAGCTACACAGCCTAGCCTACGTACATAAATGTAATTGTTACGTCATAGACAAACGTCGATTTGGTACAACAAGGACTCTAGCGAAGTCTCATGAGCTCAGACATCAGAGTCATTGCTGAATAGCATCTGTGTCTGTGCATAGCACTGGTGAGTAGATATACTGGGGACTAGACCAGAGACACCACACAACACTCTACAGACCCGAAACAAAATGCAAATTATAACTTTTGGAATCAACTATTATAATGAAGTGATCAGGACAGTGGCCTATGCAATGCACGGCCGGTCGAGATCATGACATGATCTGCTGACCCCAAACACGGTCATACTGTGATCAACCAAGCAATGATCAAGGGTACAGAAATCTCCGCTACCCAAACCAATCGAATACAAATGCGACTATGTCTACCTGGTCTAGCATACACTGTTCTGGTGGGCCTAAACTGAATCCTACGCCAGAGCGCTTTTATTTCCAAAAGAGTGGTAGAATCTGACACTCCGTGACTGCGTGTCATTGGATACTACTTGGAATAGTAGATATCTTTGTCGCTGCATTCTCTTGAATTCTCAATTATGAAAGTGACATAGATCTACCGTACACATCTCACATGCCTACTAGTGTGTGTTCAGACAATATCCAGTAGACTGTGGGAGAGAGAAAGAGCCACACATCCATTCAGATAAGATGTGATCTTTTCAACGCAGACGAAGGTCAAAACACCCCACACACAGTGACACAGACACTCAGTCGCACGCACTCACGAGCGCGCGCGCGCGTACGTACCTCGTTGCGATTTTGCTGCAGGCTGAGTTTGAGAGGCAGCGGCGGCGGCGGCAGGTTGTGTTGGTTGCGGGACGGTAGCAGAGGTAAGTCTGGTCACTTCGCGTCCGTCAGAGGACACAACAACATCTTTAGAATGGTACTTCGTATGAAATTTGGGTGAAGGCATCTTGGCAGTCAAATATTTTTGTTTCTTAGGAAAAGCAAATACTAGTAATCAGTAGTCAGTATGAATTGTACTGCAGAAAATCTCACAGAGAAAGAGGAGGAACGACAGGATCTAATGTATGTGATTGAACAAGCGCAGCGTCTCAGCGTCTTTATTCCAGGCATGCGCTTATGGTTGCTCTGACCTGGCATAACTTCATAAGCAGTCAGCTTGGACACTGCAACTGGTTGGTTGCTAGGAGCTACGTTGCTTATTGGTTGAATTTGAATCTGTCGTTCATTGAATTGTCTTTGACAACACGGTGTTGTGACCAGTGGTGACAGGCTTGTGCAGACCATGGACGGCTTGTACTAGTTGTAACTTACTTGTAGGACTAGACAGAGCAGGCTCTTTGATCGATTTGAGTAGAGCAGCAACCTGACAACTCACACATGATCTGAACATGTTGACATACACGATACAGACTGTGCGAAGCCCATCGATCCAGCCGCGGATCATAGGGGCACGTGATTCAAGGATCTTCCATCTCGCTATGTATTTGTACGTCTGTGAGTGTGAGTGTGGTGACACCAAGAATCTACATGCATAATCCTTGGAGAGTGCATGTCAAGTACTTGAGACGGGTTGCAATAATCTAGACCTCTAGCCATACTCGTACATAACAATAATTTCCTTTGGGTCAGGCGATAAGGAAAACTCGCATCACGTGGTGTAGTGCTCATGAGTCATGTCGGACCTACACAGATATGTACAAGGTTATTCTCGTTAGCCATGGTGCAATAATATTAGTACTCCTTGATCTTCATGGCGAGACCATGACAAAATACACCCAACAGTTTTCATTCATTTCAACTATCATGCCTTCTAATGCATTCTGAAAATGTCACAGCTGATGCTTACGCACACCCAATCCCTTGTACACCCGTTTTGGACAGATAAGATCCCAGCTCAAAGGTACATTGCAAACTCTGCTCCCTCATGACCCGTAAATGGGCCGTAATCCTAACAATGCCGTACCCTTACAGGGGCGTACGCCGCTCGCCTCCAGGAGTGGTTCCCATGCCAACTGATGCATCAACATTCCACACAATTGAAGTGCTGTTTTTCGTATCCCACAGAGTTTCTGCATATTCTCCTCAGACTGGGTGAAATTGACATCCACAAGCTGCTGGACGATGATGTCATTGTTACGCATTTATGATTTTAAAGGACAGAATTTTTCCCCGTTTTATGGATGTTTTGTTCAACATGACGATTGCATGCGGTCTTGAAAGCTGCCTAAGTTTCGAATCATCTGGAGCAAACATCACACAGGGCAAGCAGAAGCCACCATTGCATGCCTGTCAAAAGACTACCCAGGGTAACCCCTCTAACAAGGATAGTTGAAAGTGGCGCTGTTTGCCATCCGTCTGGACACGCACAGGAAACGAAATCCTTCGCCTTCGGTGGCGCACAATGATTGTCGATGACGGAAATCTTTTCCGTGTCCAGCAAATTTCGGGGGACTGGATTCCGCTGTGGACGTCGACTTTCAGAATATCCCGTCCAACACACTCCCATGTCATTGAAGTTAGTTTTGGATGATCCAGCAGCTTCCAACAACGGTCGCTCTACAGCTTCGCCGACGATTTCTTCCTCAACGCTGCTCGTTGGATGCAGACTTCGCTTGCAAGTCAGGTGCGTCTGCATTCTCATCTATCGCTTGACCTTCGCCACTAGCACTGGCTACACGCTTTGTCTGCAGCTCAAAAGAGCTCTGAATAGAGCGCTGGCCCTCTGGATGTCGGCGCTTCATTTTTTTTCTTTTCCGCAAAGCGAAAGCATTGTCAAAACACGACCATTACTTTGTCAAAACAAACTCCAAAGGAAAATTTGACTCTGAGATCGAGGAATCCGGCGATGTAACTGCAGTAGAGACTTTGTTGAACCCAGTTCAGTACGCTGTGTCCCAGCACTACTTTCACACCAGGGCTAGTCACCGTCCTCGATCGGACCGTCAGGCGGATGCCAGGCATGCACTTGCACTGTGAGCGCTGGGCCTGGATCAACAAATTCTCTGTACCCACATGGAATTTTTTTACTGGTTCCCGGGCATCCCGGGAACCGCCCTATGTACGCCCCTGCCTTACTCTCGGACGATCAAGAACAATGCACCCAAGAACGAGCAGATCAGAATTTTACCAGGCATATGATACCCGTCTGTACAAGGTGGCTCGGCCATCTACAAATTTCCACATGAGAATAAGAACGTTCTAGTCTACAACTCTCAACCGGTACTTCCTCGGCACCAGTACAGCTGCACTGTAAGGAGGGATGTCATCGGGTAGTAGGGTACCCGTGCTACCCATCATCGTAAGTATCGTAATAACAGCAGGAATACAGGTAGCAGTTGACATGTCACTGCTGTGGGTGGACGACAGAAATCAAACCTGCCCACAGCAGTCACAAGGCAAGCGCTGCTGCTAGAGACATGCCAAAGACCATGACCGATCTGAGTGGGCTCAGAATGCGCACTTTGGCATGCCTATAATAAAGACCATGACCGATCTGAGTGGGCTCAGCGCACTGTGGACAAGATGGAGCTCCGGAGGGGTCTCTCAGCCTGAGCTAGTGTTGCTCACGGCTGCAATGCACAGGGTTGTGAAACCAGGATAGGACAGAAGCGGACCAGTGCAGCATCATGACTTTGCACATCGTTATATTTATGCTGGAGATTGGCGCACCCACCGGGCTAGCATATTACAGCAGCCAAACGACTTGCGACCATACACGTATGTCTCGTCCTCGTACCGCACTAGTCACAGCGAGACCCTGGCCGCGGCCGATTATCAATGGCTCTTCTAGGGGAAACTAGGGGTTTCCCCCCACTGAATATGACTACAACTTGTAGGCTTCGCCCCGCGCGGGCTCGGCGCTCGCACATTCAGAGCGCGTTCGAAAAACATAATTTCGATTCCGAAACAATTAATTATTATTTCTTTAGCTGTCACTCAGACATGGCGAGACGCCGCGCATGTCGGCTGAAGAAGTGATCCAGTCCATCATGGACTCGGAAAGTGATGACTGGAGCTGCGATAGTGAAGGCGATGACTCAGATGCGGACATAGCCGTGCGCGATCGTGACGGAACAAATTTCGCGGACGTGTCCGCCGTGGTGGATGTCGTACCTACTGCCGTGGTCGTCTTGGACGGCCCTGGATATCGGAGATGTCGATGTCGAGCTTGAGCAGGGAGCAGCACAAGTTACGCCAGCGCAGGACGCAGACACGAACGCTGATCTGGCAGTGATCATGAGGAAATATTTTTTGATGCACAAACTTGTGTACATGGACCAGACAATTTTCCTGCAGCAAGTGACGATGCAGCTTGGACGAAAAGGAATGACAAACCAACTATTCCTGAATTCTCTGCACGGCCTGGAGTCCCAGTACAGCCAGCAGATGATGCCACAGCATACTGGTTTTTGAACTTATACTTTGTACATGTACTGTAATTCTGGCAGCTGCTCGTCACCGAAACGAACCGGTATACGGCGCAGTGCATAGCCCGTTCCATGGCCGGGCCATTTTCCAGCCTGCTTTCCTGCATGCCAGTGACAGGGGTAGAGATGAAGATATTTATTGCTCTGTACTTACTGAGTGAGTGGTCTGGTGTACAAGCCCTAAATGAACCTATTATTGGAGCTCTGACGCTACGATCGGCACACCTGGATTTCCGGCCTTCATGACGCACAACCATTTCCAACTCATTATGCAATGCCTCCCCTTCACAAACAATGAAGCCGATAGCCAGGATTGTCGTCTGATAAAGGTAAAGCCATTATTTGATTTACTTGTGGGCCGCTTCAAGCACGTGTACATACCTAAACACCAGATGTATGTGTTGATGAAGAACTGGTTCTGTTCTAGTGGTGTACTGGGGACCTGGGTATCCGCTGGTTTTGTTCTAGGGGTGTACTGGGTACCTGGGTACCCGCTGGTTTTGTTCTAGTGGTGTACTGGGTACCTGGGTACCCGCTGGTTTTGTTCTAGTGGTGTACTGGGTACCTGGGTACCCGCTGGTTTTGTTCTAGTGGTGTACTGGGTACCTGGGTATCCGCTCGATAGTCTCACGTACCGTTAGTAAAATGATACCCGTTTGGATTTCGATGATCCAGTCAGTACGGAACAACACTGCTGGGATCGCGCATTCCAGGCGGGAGTCAATTATTTACAACTCCACGCTGGATGTCTGCATTGTTGTTGCATTTTCGCATCTAGTAGATCTACCTCTCCAACTAACAGACACAAATCAATTTGAGAATCACAATGTGATATCAATATGCAACCTGTTTTGGTGAGATCTCAGTGCCCCGTGGCACAACCCTCGTAACAGACACAAGCTCAGAATTTCTCTTGTTGATTAGAAGGTGTTCTTTATTGATCTGTCCCTGTTCTCGCGAGTTGTGTGATTATAAGAAAAGGTTTACAAAGTGAGTCGTACGTGTAAGGAAAAGCGTAGTATGGTCCTCTTTACGGAGGTGACACAGTAGGTGCCCAAACGGGTAAAGCACAAACGAAAAGGGTGCTGCGAGTTAGTGCAGTCAAGCAGCAACATTCTCCCCCTTGGTAACAAACCGTGGGAGAGTTAACATAACTATCGCGTTATCCGAGTAGAAATATAGGTGGATGGTCCATGGACGCACAAAGCAAAAAAAAACCAGTGCAGCTAGCCGCAGCGCAGAAGTGCGGGAGGCATGAGACCTCTACGACCGCACGTCCAATACACAATTTTTCGCGGCAGGTGGACGAAAAACGCTACCAGATGCGGTCTTTGCGTGGACGACACGGACGACACCATCGCGGCCCGGATGGATGGCTGAAATGACACCTTTGAGCCAGAGACCCCGTGGTGTGTTATAGGCCGCGATGATGACAATGTCGTTTCGACGAGCTGCTTCGCTTGGCGGTTCCACTTTATGCGGCGAGCGAGAGTCGGTAGGTACTCCCGAACCCAACGGCGCCAGAACATATCCGCAAGGGCTTGCGCAACGCGCCATTGGCGCCGCAGCGAGACATCTCCTTCCTGCGCGATTCCTTGAAGTATGGCACATGAGGAGCCGATCAGGAAATGGTTTGGAGTCAAGGCCTCGTCGTCGGCGGC